GTCATGGGTACTTGATGCTGAAATTATGAGTGAATGCACTAATGGTTTCAAGATTATAAAACCGAAATTGAGTATAACTTTGTTGTATTTAGAATAACTTTCCAATTGAAATTATGTGGGGAAACAATAAAAGATGAGGACATGTTGGAAAAGACACTAACAACTTTCATGCCTCTAATATGAATTACAACAGCAATATCGTGAAAAAGGTTTTCAGAGATACTCTAAACTTATCTCATGTCTTTTGGTGGTTGAGCAACATAATGACCTTTTATAGAAAATCACGAAGATTGTCCTGCTGGAAGTGCTCTATTACCGGATGCACACGCGATTGAATCACATGGCGAGTCTGAAATAAGACAAAATAATCAAGGCCATGACAATGTGCGTGGGCGTGAAATAGGCAAAAGACAATATAATAATCGTCGAGGTGGTGTCCATAACAAAAGGGAGAACAATATAGGTTCTCAAAATAATCCTTCTAAAGGAAAGGGCGATCACTGTCATCGTTGTGGCCTTAAAGGTCACTGAAAAAATGAATGTCGGGCACCTGAGCATTTTGTTAGGTCGTATCAAAATTTCTTTAAAAGGGAAGAAAAAAAGGTGACACCTCCTCTTCTAAAGCCCGAGTAGATGATATTCAGGCAGGATCTTCTCAAAAATATATTGAGAATGTTGAGGCAAACTTAGCATTGAAAGATGATGCTTTTGATGGGCTCGACAATATTACTCATCTGAAAGCTAAGGACTTCTTTGGGGATCACAACTGAGATTGATAATTGAACTAGGAAATGAATAATGTTTTTATGTATTTTTAATGTCTTAATTAAAGTTTATGTACCTAAGATTTCTTTTGCTAAATTTCGTACTTTTATTATGTATTTTTATTCATGTGAAGATAAATAAAATTTTCCAGTCTTCAGTTGGATCCAAGATGAGTAGTGGAGATATGTGTCATCTGGATATTGCCACAACTCATACGATACTAAGAGAAAATAAATATTTCTCTCGTTTGATAATGAAAAAGGCATATGTTTATACAATATCCGGTAGTATAAAATTTATTGAGAGCTCAGGAAGAGCGACCTTATTAATACCTGGAGGAACATTATTGGTAATTGATAATGCATTGTATCGTAGTAAGTCTCATAGGAACTTGTTATGTTTCAAGGTTATTCGACAAAATGACTATCATGTTGAGACTGCGAATGAAGGAAAGGTGGAATACCTTTATATTACAACAATAAATGCAGATAAAAAAATTGTGCATGAAAAATTGCCAGCACTTTCTTCAGGGTTGTACCATACAAATATTGGTTCAGTAGAATCACATACCCTAGTAAACAAAAGGTTTACTGATTGTAATGATTTTATCATTTGGCACGATCTGTTGGGTCATCCCGATTATAATATGATGCGCAAAGTAATTGAGAATTCACATGAGCATACTCTGAGGAACCAAAATGTTCTTCAATCAAATGAATTCTTTTGTGGTGCTTGTTCACAAGGAAAGTCGGTTATCAAACTATCAGTGGCTAAGGTTGGGGTGGAATCCCCTGCATTTCTGGAACGGATACAGGGTGATATATGTGGACCTATTCACCCTGCATGTGGACCATTTAAATATTATATGGTCTTGGTAGATGCATCTACAAGATGGTCTAATGTGTGCTTATTATCAACTCGCAATATGGCTTTTGCGAGGTTGTTGGCTCAAATAATAAGGTTAAAAATACAATTTCCAAATTATGCAATAAAAATAATTCGTCTTGATAATGCTGGTAAGTTTACATCTCAGGCATTTAATGATTATGGTTTGCATACTGAAATAACCGTTGAACATCTTGTTGCACATGTTCATACTCAAAATGGCTTAGCAGAGTCATTGATTAAACGTCTTCAATTGATAGCTAGATCATTGATCATGAGAACAAAGTTGTTTGTTTCGGTTTGGGGGCATGCTATTTTGCATGCAGAAGCACTTGTGCGCATAAGGCCAACCAGTTATCATGACATCTCCCCATTACAATTGGTTTTTGGTCAGGAGCCAAACATTTTCCATCTTACAATCTTTGATTGTCCGATATATGTTCCAATTGCTCCACTACAACACACAAAGATGGGTCCCCAAAGAATGTTGGGGATATATGTTGGGTATGAATCTCGTTCTATTATAAAATATTTGGAACCTAGAACTGGATATTTATTTATGGCAAGGTTTGTTGATTGTCATTTTGATGAATCAGTTTATCCAACATCAGGGGGAGAACAAAAGCAGTTGAAAATGAGATAGATTTGAATTCACTTTCACTGTCTCGTTCAAATCCTCGAAAAAATCAGTGTGAGCAAGAAGTTCAAAAGATAATTTATTTACAGAATATTGCAAATCAACTGTCGAACGCATTTACTAACCTTCCACGGGTTACTAAATCATATATTCGAGCTGTTAATACTCAAGTTCGAGTTGATGTCCCTCTAGGACAAAATGTTAAGACGAATGAGTCTGGACCACGTTTAAAACGTGGTAGACCAATTGATTCCAAGGATAAAAATCCTCGAAAAAGAAAAAGAATAAATGATCAAGATGATGATCATAATATAGAGGCAATTGCTCATGAAGCTCTTTGAGGCATAATAAATGATGACACCACAAATGAGGTTCATGTACTTGAAAATAATGAGAATGAGGAAATATCTATAAATTATGTCTCGACGAGAAAAATGTGGAATCGAAATAATATTGTGGTGGATAATATTTTTGCCTATAATGTTGCAATTGAAATAATGCAACAAAAAGAGGATTTGGAACCAAGATTTGTCAATGAGTGTAGACAGAATAATTGTCCAAACTGGAAGGAAGCAATTCAAACAAAATTGGCTTCACTTGAAAAACGTGATTTTTTTGGACCAATAGTCCGAACACCTGAAGGTATCAAGCCAGTGGGGCATAAATGAATTTTTGTGCAAAAACGCAATGAAAATGGTAAAGTTGTAAGATATAAAGCACGACTTGTGACACAAGGATTTTCACAAAGGTCTGACATTGATTATGAGGAGACATATTCTCCTGTGGTAGATGCAATTACCTTCAGGTATATGATAAATATGACAGTTCATGAAAAGCTTGAAATGCATCTAATGGATGTTGTCACAACTTATTTATATGGCTCACTAGACCACAATATTTTTATGAAAATCCTTGAAGCATTTAAAGTGCTTGAAGCATATAAAAATTCAAAAGAAAGTTGTTCAATAAAGCTTCAGAAATTCTTATATGGATTAAAACAATCAGGGCGAATGTGGTATAATCGTCTTGGCAAATGTTTGCTAAAAGAAGAATACAAGAATGACCCTATTTATCCTTGTATTTTTATACGAAGGTCAAAATCTGAATTTGTAATAATATTTGTTTATGTTGATGATTTGAACATTATAGGAACTCCTAAAGAGCTTTCAAAAGTCATTGAGTGTTTGAAGAAATAATTTGAAATGAAAAATTTTGGTAAGACAAAATTTTGTCTTGGCCTTCAAATTAAACATTTGTCAAATGAAATATTTATCCATCAATCAACATATATTGAAAAGGTTTTGAAAAGATTTTACATGGATAAATCACACCCATTGAGTACCCCGATGGTTGTGAGATCTCTAGATATAAATAAAGATTCATTCCGACCTCAAGAAAGTGATGAAGAGGTTTTTGATGATGAAACAACATATCTCAATTGGGGCACTAATGTACCTTGTCAACAATACCCAACCAGATACTTGTTTTGCAGTTTGTTTATTGTCGAGATTCAGCTCATGTCCAACAAGAAGACATTTGAAAGATGTTAAGCATACATTCAGATATCTTCAAGGAACAATTGATATGATAGTGTTGTATTCTAATGCATCCAAGCCAGAGTTGATTGCTTATGCTGATGCAGGATATTTGTCTGATTCATATAAAGCCCGATCTCACACATGCTATTTATTCACATACGGAGGTACAACTATATCATGGCGTTAAATAAAGCAAACAATAGTTGCTACGTCTTCAAATCATGTAGATATAATAGCTATTCATGAAGCCAGTCGGGAGTGTGTGCAGTTGAGATCAATGACTCAACACTATTTTGCAATTATTCGGTGTTTCTGTGCAAACAAAGATTCCAACAACATTGTATGAATATAATGTTGCTTGCATTGCACAATTAAGGGAAGATATATTAAAGAAGATCGAATAAAACATATTTCACCTAAGTTCTTTTTCACACATTATCTTCAACAAAATGGTGAGATAAATGTTCAATAGATTCGTTCGAGTGATAATCTTGCAGATTTATTCACTAAAGCATTGACAACATCAATATTTGAGAAGTTAAGATATAGGATTGAGATGCGTCGTCTCCAAGATATCAAATAAGTTCTTCATCAGGGAGAGTAAATACGCGCTATACTCTTTTTCCCTTAGCCATGGTTTTGTCCCATTGAGTTTTCCTGGAAAGTTTTTAATGAGGCAGCACTCAAGGCGTATTATAAGATGTTGTACTCTTTTTCCTTCACTAGGCTTTTCCCACATGATTTTTCCTAATAAGGTTTTAACGAGACACATTATCTATGGACATCCAAGCAGAAGTGTTATAAATGCATTAAGGTGGATGTCATTTGTAACTCACTTCAAAACTCATCCATAACTCTTTTAAAGTTCATGTACGAAATAAATGAACATTTTAATTCATGTAACTTTGAAGAGATATTTTATACTATAAATAGGCAATGATTATTTTATCAAAGGATCAATCGAAAAGTACAAAGAAGTAAGAAAACATTATCCTATATATTTTATCTATATATTTGTGTTAATACTTTCATATTGCTAATATTTTACAACAGAAGCAAAATTAATCAAACATTCTCCTATATATTTTATCTATATATTTGTGTTAGTAATTTCATATTGCTAATATTTTACTACAGAAGCAAAATTAATCAAATTTTATGAAATGCACCCATCCGTATAAACCCTAGACTAATTATAAAGATAAAAAAATAATAATAACGTTGTGTGTGTATGTGAAGAAAACAGTCACTTTTATCAGATCTCGCTTTACTAGAGTTGCCGAAGATCATCCCAGCAGGCACCAGTTGCACAAGATCATCAAAGAGTCAAAAACACTGTTCAATTTCAGAAGAAACTGACCTGACGTAACCTGACCTGACCTGACCTCCTTCAATGGAGGACGCTTACGCCCGATCTGTTTCAGAGGTATCCTAAATTCTCCTGTTTCTGGTTAAACAAGAATATACCTTGAATGCCAATGCTGCAATTCCATTTCCAGGTTCTTGAATTCTTCGCGGTGGATCCAACTAAAGGTCTTACAGATTTACAGGTGCAATTTCAGTGGCCAAACTACTTGGGAAGGATCCAATTCAATACCCCTAATTCTTTTTTTTTCTTTTGTTTCCCAGGTTACACAACATGCACACTCATATGGCAAAAATGGTAATCATTGTTTCCCTTACTTCTCAAGTGTTATGTTCTTACAACGGTGGCATTTTCAAATAACTGAACAACGTAGCTCATGTGCATGTCTGCGTTTTGAGAATATTTGCTTATTTTACAATAAAAAAATATAAGTTGTAGTACCTATAATATCACAAACTTAATTGCCTAGGCTCCATGTTGTATTGCCATCTTGTATCTCTATTTGCTTATGAATTTTGACAAGTATGAGGTTACAGGAATAAACCAGGAAAAGAATGCATGCAAATTGACTACTTTGTGCCCTTAAATTCAGTAAGCGGAACAATTTAGGCATGTCCACAGTTTATCACTATACATTGGGCTAGTGGACATTCCTATCTTTGGTCCCTAAGGTTGGTGAGGATTCTTTTGGCCAGGTTATTTTGAGAAGAACAAAAGATTCATAGAGTTAAGATCTTCTAGTTTAGTTAATTTTACCAGAATTCTTGCAAGATTAGGAGATCATCCTATGTCCAAGAGATTTCGGTTCCAAATGTTGTTATGATGCTTAGATAGCTGCTATCTTCCAATTGTGTTGTAATTTTAGCTAACAATGGATAGAAGTTGATGATTTGATTGAGCAACTAGTTAATGTTGGTTGCATAACCGGTATGGTTGTGAGTATATAATCAAGTTTGTGGACCCAAGAGTTATGAAGCTACAGAATGTTAATGTTATACTACTAGCTTGCATCTCAACTATAATTGGTATGATAACAATGGTGTCTGCATCAACTTACATCTCAACTATTCCACCCGGTTCCTGCAATCCTACCTGCAATTGTATGGATAATTCTGTTATCAAACTTTAGGTAGATTGGAAGTCATTGCTTTGAGTGTTTATGTCTGTGTTAGATTTGAACAGTGGTGTTCCATGTTATGTGTCTACTTTGTTGACCACTAAGCAGTATTCTTTGAGACTGTGAGGGCATGTTTTGCACGGCCTTATGATACTGGATTGTCATGAACAGAATAATGTTCTAATGGCCAGGATGATGTGTTGTTTATTTGAGGAGAGGCCACTGTGATACGCCTAAAGAATCACTCAATTTTATTCTGTCTCGGACGCCATAGTTTTTTTTTTTAATTTCATACTAATAAAAATGTTTTTCTTTCTAATTGGTATCTGTTGTGGTAAGATTTATCTTCAAAACAAAGTAGTACCGGAATCAGATTAATATGTCATAATTTTAAAATAATTATGCATGTGTTTTGTTATGTGTTACTCTATATGCTTGTCATTTGCCTGATTTTGTCTTCTCTAATTAATTTTCTCTTTGGTTGCATGTTTCATGAATTTTCTCAGTGTTGCCTCAAGAAAAAAGTAAGTTCTCTTTCCTTTCCCTCTCTCTCTCTATCAGACACATATAATTAGGTTGCATCTAAAATAGGGTAGAGACATTCATAATCAGCAAGCCAGCTTCGCTTTAGTTAAGGAGATTTTATTCTTGTGTTTTATTTTATTGCTATAGTAAAATACCTGAACTTTTGATGGAGTCACATTTTATTAGCATTTGTTACAACGATAGGAAAACCAGTGAATGCTTGACTGATATTGTACTACAAGAGCTTTTTCTAGATGAGCATATGGTACATAAGATATGAATTAACCATATTCGTCAGTACTCTACAGTCTACACAATTATGTTATATGTTGTATGCACCCCAAATATTCGAGACAGACAAATAAATAAAAATATTATTTTATTTGGTGACGATAGAATGCATGCCTTTCTTGATATTTTTCTTAAAAAAAGAATGCATGCCTTTCTCTTTTATATTATTTCATTTTGGTGATGATAAAATGCAAAATGATTTGCAGTAAAGTAAGCGTTTATTTTCTCGTCCAGTCCTAATAATTGCATTTTCCTCTGAACTTAACGTTGCTACACTGAGCTCGGTTGTTTTTACAATTCTAAGCCATCATGGCATCCGGATTCTCTTGAAATATGTATAGATCTAGAAATCTCTCTTGAGTGACAAGTGTCCAAAATCCAAACATCAAATCAAAATCCATCTCTATTGCAAGTTGCCACCGAAAGTTTCTCCCATCCTCGGCTTAATTTTTTTTTTAAATCCATCTTTGATTCATGTGTTTCCATAGGTTCACTCCTCAAAATGTGGTTATTGCCGTGCTGGTTTAGGGGGCAACTTCCTTTCATTCTGATCATTTAGTTTCAATTAAGTTTTTCTTTTGCCATTGCAAAATCCCCATACCCACTTCCCTAGACAACTTTATATTGTAGATTAGGTATCTGATGCCCTTCCCCCTTCCTATCGTGGTCACAGATTTTTCCACTTTGCATGACTAACTTTTCCTCTTTTATTTTCTTTCTATTCCAGAAAATGTCCCGTCTAATTATGTGAGAAATAAACAGGTCCGAGATTTTACTCAACTCCATATTTATCTAAGTCAGTCATTCTTAGAGGATATGTAACACATCTTTCAGGTGGTTAAGATTCTTTCTAAAGTTGTAACACTCTACACCCTACACTTCACTTTTATGCTTTGCTTCTAGTGGTATGCCTGATGTTGATAATGTACCAATCTTTATTGGTTAGTGCCTCTTTATTCAAGATAGAACTCATGGACAATGAGGCACATGGCTTAGTTTGCGCTGCCTACACTGAAGTGCATCTTAAGCGACACAAAGCACCCTTGGTGAGCTTTTCTGAGCTAAAAGTCTTAAGCAAGCCTCAAAAGAGACTTGACAGCACACCATATTGTGATGTTCCTCCTAGAAGAATAGCTACTTTTTTCAAAAATTGACATGCAACCAACATGCTACTTTAAAGGCCAATAAGACTACTCTAATATCTTTTATCTGATCATCCTTGTAATCACGCGAAAACAATGTGTCATCTGCAAAGTGGATGCTGGAAATCTCACTTACTGTCATGGATCCTTCTTACCGTGAAGCTAGTTATCTACCCCATTCTTTCATCCTTAGTTCTACTAAGACCTCATTTGAAGCTAAATGCACATCTAAGTGATCAAGATCTGGTTTTTCGATCTGAACACTGAATGATAAAGATCGTTTGTTTTAAACTTGTGAATATAAATTGTTTATCAATATGTAAACACAATAAGTAATATACTTGAAAGAAAGTTGTAGTTAAACATTATATCAACAAAATATTAAAAAACATTAGTTGAGAAAAAATAAAATTATTATTTAATAATAATTAAAATTTTCGAAAATATAAAGATAAATCTTATAATTTTTAAAAATAAAGTGAAACTATCTTCTGTACATAACAAAATTATATTAACAAAAATAATTGTTAGAAGTTATTAAAAGAAAATTCTCATCATCTTTTACTAATTTTTGCAAATAATTTTTATCAATTATTGATGACCAAGCAATACGATCAAGAATTAAATGTTGTTGAAATAAAAAGGGGAAAGAGCATGGATAGTTGATGGTTGGAGAAAGAGAGGCATGATTTTTTTGCAAAAGAAAATATATGGAACGAACTTTAATAGAAGTCTGTATTTAAAAGAATCTGAATGAGATTAAGACTCTGTCGTAGGTCTGATTCATTCTGACCCATTAAGTGATTCTTAAGTAGAAAAAACAGTCGCAGTTAATAATCTAATATTCAAATCATTCAAATTTCGACCTCCATTAAGTGCAAACAAATGAGGACTAAGACTATCCATCACAATTATAATAAGGGTAAATGGATCATCTTGTCCAAGGCCTCTAGAAGATCGAAAGAAGCCTCCACCCTGGCCATGCAACAAGACTGAGGACTTCATTTGTGCATTAAGACCTCTTTCTCTACTTCCACACTTCATTTTCTCTAGAACTGAGATGAGGATATTCCAACCTAATCGGGTCTAGGGATTTTCTATGTCTTAATTAAAATGATTCCCCTATTTTCTCCTCTTTATGTTCAATCTAGGCGCACAAATTAGCAATAAGGACTTACTTGAAATTCGCCTCTCCTTATAAAATTATTTTTTGAATGATGAGCTTGGTAGAAAAGGGCTTTATTAATGTCTTGTTTGCTAAATGGTCCCTCAATTTCCTTCTCTTTGTTTAGTCTAGGTATTCATTTGCAATTGGAACCTAATTGGAGATTTTCTTTCCTGAGATAAAGACTTCTGTGAATAAGGAAGCTGGGCATAATTCATCCGTTTCAGTCTCTTATACATACTAACAAGCTGATTGGTCTAAAGAGTAAAGACCTGTAATTCCAAAGTCCCACTTTTCTTTGAGATCAGGGAAATAAAAGAAGCGCCTAGATTTCTTCAAACTTCATCTCCTTGCGTTGTTGCCAGACCTCTCTCCGTGTTCCAGCATATGTGTAAAATATGAATACCTATCTAAATCTATTAGGTCCAGGCCTCTGCCTCTTCTTCACAAAAGTGACATTCCAATAATCTCTCTGATTCCCATATCTTCTAACAGTATTCCCATTGCTTTCAGTAATAGGGGAATTTGCAGTGTTCTGAAATATGAATTATTATTCGTGGAGTGTGTACCTATGATATAGTCTCAGCTGAATCCTGGTGTTTGATGACCCACACCATTACTTATTGACTGAACCAAGCTATTGCTGGTTTCAACAATTCAGTTGAATAAATTTTAAGCATTGTGCTTATTAATTGGGACAATTATCTTTTGCTACGTAATAATTGGTACATTGTTGCTTAGCTCTGTCTACTTATTGTTATTATTAATATTATTATTATCTATTGCAGGCACTCCTTTCTGGAAGTTGGTGCTGAAGCAATTTAATGATTTGCTTGTTAAGATTCTAATTGCAGCTGCTTTTATTTCCTTTTTTTTGGCACTTGCTAATGGAGAGACGGTAATATCAGCCTTCATTGAACCTTCTGTAAGCAAACTTGACTTCTCTTTCTTACTGTCATTAGGCTAACTTGACTTCTTTTCCTTACTGCCATTAGGGGATGGAGTGGGAGTGTAATTCGGGGGAATTTTTCTTTTACCAAACATAAATGTCTAATGATTTAAGGACAATATGACCCACATATCTCTCTTACTAAAAAATACTTCCAGTTCTGCTCCCAGGCCTTGTTTTCTCATGGATATCAGCTAGGGTCCCTTAAGGAGTAAGGACTTCTGGCTACCCCTCTCTGGTGGTATTTGATTGCAGGAGCAGCCATTTTCATTTTTTTTCTTTAAAGCCTTTTATCTACCATGGATATTTAAAATTATTTTAGATCCGGGGGGGGGGGGGTTAGTTTTTTGGCATCACAGAGACGTTGTCCAAAAGAGAAATATGGTTCAAATGGGTTGAGAGCTCATGGTTGCACATTGACGCTCTGTTCTAGGTACCTCGGAGAATTAGAAAGGCTTCCATTGTTTAGGGGAGAGTCTACCAAACATGGAAAAGCAGAGAAAAGTCTACATCTCTTTTCTGTTCCATGAAATTCTACATCTTTGATCACTTCTGGCACTATAATAACTGTTCTAGATTGCCTTGTGACAACATTGTAATCTAAACTTTTTCATCATTGTTTCCTTTGTGATTTAAGCGCTTGATGTACTTTTTTTCTTTTTTTCTTGTAGTATAAATGGGTCATGTTTTGGTTGTATAATAGCAGCACGAAAAAATATGAATAGGAAGAACTAGCTTGGCAAAAATAATTCTAAAGTAATAATTCATTATAATACAGTGAACATGATCTCATATTTATTGAAAGAAAGGATGCTAGAAAGTGCCAAGAAAAGTCTTCTGGTGGTACTGCTGAAGAACAAAATTCATATCATTTATGAATTCCTCCTTGTTTTACCATAATCACAAGTGATGTTTATAGGTTATCTTGATGATATTGGCTGCAAATGCAGCGGTCGGGGTTATCACAGAAACAAATGCTGAAAAGGCTCTTGAGGTATGATATTCAGTTGAGTGTAGAAATAGTGACATTGCTGTGCTAGTGTTCTAATTTTCAGGTTATTCTTTCGATTTCTGTCTCTGTTTAGTAGGTTGAGTTCTTATCTTCTTGATCAACATGTGTCCCCTTTCTTGTATATCCTGGCTTTATTTTCTTATTCGGGTCATTTTCACTAGAGGATGTAAAAAATGAATTTAGAAACTCTTCTTCTATGTGCTTAATCTCACTTTGTGGGTTTTCACTGGGTATGTTGTTTTATTCCATGTGCCTAACATCGTATTATAATGAAAAAATACACAAGTTTCCCTTAGACTTGTTGCAAAAGTCATTTACACTCAACTTTGTGGCGATGACATGGAAGAGCAAGTATATTTAATTTTCTGGAAGATTGTGAGGGCAAAAAAATGCTCAAAATAAATCTAATTAACAGGTGTCCCTTTTAGATTGGACATCATACACTAGTTACACATATGCCATAATACAATCTTTTATTGTTTACCTTTCTACTTTTTTGTTTTTTCTTCTTTTATTCATTTTTTGTTCTTTCTTCTTCATTTCAACGTACCAGAGTCTCTTCTTGATTTAAACATTATCGATGCGTCACTATTATCACCTCCACTTGTTGGCGAAACTATGCAGTTAAACCACCAAAAAACACCAATGGAGCTCCAAACTAAGATCGACTCATAGTTGGAGCTGCTTTACTAGCAGATGTTTCATCTAAGACTGACTTTGAGTTGGAGCTGCTTGACTGGAGATCACCTAAAACAAAGAAGAAAAAAGGAAAAAAAGGTGCAAACTAAGGTTTAGTAATTTCTTATGCTGTCAAGTAGATGTGCAAATGAGCAGGATAGTTTAATTTTGGGCGGGTCGAAATGGGTCAAGCTAATAAATGTTTCATAACCAAAACCCAAAATTTACTTGGGTCAAAATGTGTAATTTATCGGGTTAACCCAACCCACCCAACATGACCCCAACTTTTTCTTTCCTATTATTTTACAGTATTATTGCTCTGCCATTGGTTACAACAAGAATAGTGCATGATAATATATACAATCCTACTTAGAATAGGAATAGGAATAGGAATAGGAGTAGAAATAGTATATAGAATCCTATTCAGAAAAGTATTGTATTGTAGTGTCCTAGTTAGAAAAGGAGTCTAATATAGTGGCTATCAGTAGGGTCTCAATGTAATAATATAAATAGGGTCTTAATGTAATAATAGATGCAATTCAATAATATTCTTCACTAATATTTTTCACATAGTATCAGAGCCTCTATGATCTCGGTACTAGGTTGAGAATCAAAGAGCTTTCGTCGCCAACATGTGGCTTTACCCATATATGTCTCCTGTTTGTCCAATGATTATGTTAACAAAAGTAGGGCCAATGTTATATGCATGAACCCTATATTCAAGGGAAGAAACTCAGTTAGACAAGTCATAGTGCGTCAATTTTTGATGACTTTCTAGGGCTGCTTTGTGTCACCCCCATATCCGTTAGTGTTTGTGTAGCATTGTGCATTCTTTCTGGTGATTACATTTTCATATCGTATTTGTCTAGCACCATGACATCCTTCCACTGACTACTTTCTCATTAAATTCTATTATATGTAGAAGCCAGTGTTATCAAAAGCGAAAAGCGCAAAAAGGCTCTAAGGTCGGTGGGGTCTTTAAGCGCAAAGCACAAATAAAGCGTGGACTTTGATGAAAAAAGGCGCAAAGGGAGAAAAAAATACAAATATATATGTTTAATGCAAGACTAATAATTATAAACGTGAATGACAAATATATGACCAAAGAAATTGAATTATTTTTTATTATAAAGTGAAATATCAATTGTTCAGTGGCACTTCTTCATAAGAGGTCATTGGCAAGGAAAAATTTGCCTTAGAACCTTGATGACGACACTAAAGTGCACATAAAGCGAGGCGAACGCTCAACACGTTTTGAGCCTTGCTTCAGGGCTTAAGCGCGCTTAATGCGCGCATTTGATAACACTGTGTAGCACCTTGCCACCTTTCTGGTGACTACTTCATTTCTGATTTGTGTAGCATTGTGCATCTCTTTGACTACTTCTCATAATTAGTTTGCGTAGTATCATGATTTTTTCCAACCTACTTTCTCATATCTGAGTTGTGTCTTTTCGGTGACTCCTTAGATTTGATTTGTGTAGCTCCATGCTTCTTTTCGGTAACTACTCAAATCTGATTTGCGTAAGTTTGTGGCATCATTCCGACCCTATCCATAAAATTTTTTTAGTAGGGTCGTGTCGTCGGTATGGATCCTACACATAATTTTCTTTCTCACTAGGTCATGTCATCATTCCGACCCTACCTATGTAATTTTATCTCTCAGATTGTTCAGCCATCAAATCTAATACTGTGACGCGTGTGCATGTTTCGACCAGTTTTCAATGACATTCTTGTTTAATATCAACTCATCCATTGATTCCAAGATGATCCATGTATTTTATACCAGATTTTTTGAGCACTTTCCAGCGTCCACTGCATTGTGAATAAGGCTATATGGAGCAAGCACCTAATGTTGCTAGGGGGAGTTTAGTAGCCTTGTATGTCGATTTCATAAGTCACTATGGTCTAAAACAATTTTTTCAAGCTTGGTTTGGGAAGTTTAACTTTGTAATTTAGGAATTTATCACTATGTGTTTTATCGACATTGTGCATTAATTCCAGTATTTCATGAGAAGACTAAACATATTGAGATTGACTGCCAATTTTGTGACTAAGCACATTGAGATTGACAGTCAATTTTGTTAATTCAAGTGATCAACTTGCAAATATCTCACTAAGCCCTGCATCGGTCCTCGTATCAATTACATTTGTAACAAGCTAGGTGCGTACTACTTGTATGCACCAGCTTAATGGGGAGTGTTAGAATGAGAATAGGAACAAGATTAATATATACAAATCTACTTAGAATAGTAATATGAATCAAAATAGTATATAGAATCCTACTTAGAAAAAGATTGTATTGTAGTGTCCTAGTTGGAAAAGGAGTCTTATGTAGTGTCTATAAATAGAGTCTCAATGTAATAATGTAGATACACAATTCAATAATATTCTTCTCAAATATTTCTAACACCATTCTTAGGCTGCTCAGGCTGCAGAAGTCAAATTCTTTGCAGTTTCTTGGTCAACCAGGTTAAGGTTCATATTTGTAAGAGCTGGTAAGATAATCCCAGGGTCATTCATTTCGTAAATTATGTTGTTGTGATTTGTGATTATTCCGTTGATGGTAGCTTGATCTTCATATGATGAAGTTAGACCACACATGTTTATTTCATTAGCAAAGAAGAATGAGCCGTATTTACACTTTACCAATGTTCAAAAAAAAGAATGAGCCGTATTTACAATAGCAGATAATTTGAAACAAAACAATGATATTAGTTTAGCTTCACCTCAATAGTTCTTGTTACATGGTCTGAAGTCTGAACCCAATGATGATCAAATCTATTTGACTGGTCATTTTGGGTCAGCCCATTCTGATCTACCAGATCTTTTATTGATAGCCAGCCTATTTTAGTCCGGATGGGTTTTTTCCACCTCTACTGTCATGGTATATCTTTCTCCATTAGAATTTGGCATTGTGACTGTCTATGTTACATGGAGGAAAATGTTGATATTCATAAGGTGAATCAATTTTTTGTAGTTATGATCTGTCGCGTTCATCACTTACGCTTGAAAATTTGACTCACAGAGTCGTTTCCTAATTGTAGGAGCTACGTGCATACCAAGCTGACGTTGCTACTGTCCTGCGCAATGGTAATTTGAGTTCTTCCTACTTTTGAATCCCCTCTTCAGTTGAAAGCTGTTTTTTTCCATTAGTGCTTATGGGTAGCCTTTTAAGCGCCTAATATGATTCTGATCATGTTAATTGTGTCTCTTCTTCTGGCTTATGTATTTTTTAGTCTATGTTTATGTAAACCTCATTTACGTAAGACAAGATTGTATTGTTTAAAACAATTCAAATTGTTCTTCTGCATCCTTAATGTGCTTCATACTTTGGTGTTATGATCTTTGTTTTATTGAAGCATGTTTGACGAAGTCCTTTTTTTGTTGGATATAAATAGTATGATTGTGTATCTCTTATTTAGGAGAAAATCCACATTTTGGCATCGTTGTGGGTAACTGTATAGAGATGTGTTAATGCGTTACTTGTGTAGGCTATCCAAAGCTCTGCACAGTCTCTTTAGTGTATATATGTATGTCAAGGATGAGGCTGCAAGCTCAAATAACTGTTCTTCTTTGGAAAAATGGAGAAGAGAACTTTAGATAAACGGCCTGTCATTGGTGGGCGTTCAGAGTCAAAGTATATTAGAACATGGAACAGAAGGTCTTAAGGGAAAATGAGGTCATAGCCAAAAAGAAAAAAAAGAAAAGAGAAAAGGAAAATGATAATCTGCACCAGCTCTATGTCATTATGAATACACTGGAGCCTTGCTTTGCAACTCCATGTTGGGCTAGCCAGACTTGGTTTGTCATTAGCTGGACTTCTGATCTCCATATGAAATCTGCACATCATCCTTCAATCCAGTACATTGAGGCATGGAATTGTGGAATTCCTTTACCTGCTGCTAAACAAAATCTTGAGAGCTTTTACATATCACTTTCAGTCATTTCTTTTTCTTGTGCTTGGTTGATTAACATTTCAACATATCGTGATTAACTATTATGTGAAATTTGATCTATCAGGTTGTTTCTCGATATTACCTGCAGCAGACCTTGTCCCTGGAGATATTGTAGAAGTGAGTGGTATGTTGAGTCTTTTAATTATATCAACTGGAAATTGTATAAGATTTCATGCTCATCCTCTTTTTATTTTGCACTAATCTTTTCTTTGTGGCCTTTCCATGAAATGTGAAGTTGGGTGTAAAATTCCAGCTGATATGAGAATGATCGAGATATTGAGCGATCACTTACGTGTTGATCAGGCAATTTTAACAGGTGCACTGTCCGTACAGATAATAATGTCCTTTAATTGCTTAACAGATTATGCAATTTGACCTTCCATTGCCATTTGTTTTATTGAGAATGCACATCATGAGTTAAAAGAATCACAAATAATGTGAATGCAGTGAACTCTTTAACAATAATAATGTTGGGAGGTTGGAGTTGTGTTTAATTGTTTATTATAGTATTTCCAAATGTACCATCTTAAATAGAAGTAGATGATCCGTGATATTTTCATCACAAACAACTTATATTTTATAGTAGTATGTATCTAAGACCTTATGCTACAAAAATTAACATTGAAGTGAGCAAAATAAGTAATCATTTGATGTTATTGACAATAACAGTCATAAATCCTTGTTTGATGAAAATAACAATCTTAAATCTTAAGTAAGTTAATAGCTGTTAACATCAAATTATAGGAAATCATAACTAAAGAATGAAAGCTGTACACGATGTTTCTTGTAAGTTATCAGTTTGATAAGTTATCAATTATTAGGTGTTAGAAAAATAAAAATACTAATTACGGGACTTGAGATTAGATTTGCGTAACTTTACAAATGATGGATGGGTTACTAACTTTTGGAATAGTAATTACTAATACAAAAACTATTATAATGCCAATATGCAAACCTTTTCTTGAAATATTCGGAGTTCTTAGCAGGTGTTATACTTGTATCTGCCTATTATATGGCGCTTCAAGTTTATATGCTCCAACTACAATGTTTCACTGATACAATGAGATTGCATGAAAAGTAAAATGAATCAGTTCTGCCAATCAGTGTACCTTTTTCATTGTAGGCTCTTTAGTTGCTTTTGCTGCCTTTCATTCCTATTTTATGCATCTTCTTTTTGTTCTGATTACAGGCGAGAGCTGCTCTGTGGAAAAAGAGCTTGATGCAACGACTGCTACAAATGCAGTATACCAGGATAAGACAAGCATCCTGTTTTCTGTAAGTTATTAAAACCAGTTCTGTGGAGAATACTAGATAAACGGAGCTTGGAGCATCAATTTATAAATAAAAGGTCCATCATGCTGATGTGTTTGACAATGTAGTAGGGGAGATGATAATACTGTCGCTTGGTTGATTCAGTAGCCTTGATAAATGTTGACCTAATTATAAAAAAATTAAAAGATGGGCATTTGAGACTGAACATTCTCTAGGTTGAAGTACATCCTTGAATTTGTGGGATGCTGAGATTTACCTTTTTACTAACGAGACATGTCAAAAGGACATAAACTCTTGTCGATATAGAGACCCTGAAAACATGTTTATTACGATGACTTTAGCATTCTGATGACGTCTTTTTCTAGGAAGTAATGGGTATTATTGATAACTTGCTTGTGCATGATATTTTTGCATCTTCTTTACTTGTCACAAGCTCTTCCACGTCTCACCATTTATAGGTTTTTTGGTACTCTCTTCTTCCCACCCGTGACTTATTTTTTTCCTTTAGTATTTGTAATTATTAGTATTTTTTCTAAATCATTGTTAATTTCAAATGGAGTAAATTCTAAATCTGTAATATTTAAAAAAAGAAGAAGCTCAAGTCTGGATGATAGATTGGATGACCAAATGAGATGATAGATTAGATGACCAAATGAAGTGCATCAAAGACAAGGAAGGAAAAGTATTGGTGGAAAAGGTATACACTATACGAAGATGGCAGGCATACTTACATAAACTCTTGAATGAAGAGGGGAACAAAAAATATGGTCCAAGTGTTTTACAGAACTTTGCGAGTTGTCGAGATTTTGGATACATTAGAGGTTTAAATATTAAGGTGGTTAAGGATGCTATTCATAAGATGATGGGAGGGAGACCAAACCAGACGAGATCCCAGTGGAACTTTGGAAGGTCGCAAGCAAGTGTGGAGTGATAACTAGGTTGTTTAATGTCATTTTTAAGACAACAAAAATGCCTGAAGAATGAAGTGATCTTGTTATAGAGGGGTATCAAGCCTTATTGTGAGAGTTTGGGAGAGGGTGGTGGATATGAGGATGGGGAAGGGTGTGTCTTTCCGAGAACTAATTTAGTTTCGTGTCAGGGCGATCAACTATGGAAGCCTTCTTAATGAGATTGGTGAAGCAGTTTAAGGTCAGCAAGAGGGGCTTAGGCATTTTTTGTTTTCATTAAGATTTAGAAGTTTGATTTGGATGCACATCTGAATGATGAAGATGTTGTCTCTAGATTTGAACACGGAATGGTTAAGACGGCTTGTTTTTCAAAATCTGAATATACATAATTTATTTATATGTACATAATAAAATAATTATATAATTCAAATGAAAATTAATAAATAAAATCAACTATTTGATAAAAGAAATAAAACATTTATGTCTGCTAGAGATGGGGGAGATACTTTGTTGTGTTGGTGGTGATAGTAATAGTAGTTGTTAATCTTCAAGTAATGATGGTGGTGATAGTTTGTGACGATGGAGGTGGTTGGTGTTGTGGTGACTGTCGTAATGGTGATGATTCGTAGTTTTTTTTTTTTTAGAATTAGTATTGTTGTATTCTTCAGCATTGGGAATGCTGGCCACCATCAGAATCAAGTTACAAAACAAGTAGACTCTAGCTTCACAAAGCTCCTAGAAATTCTACTAACTCCTCTATTTCCTCTATACAATTATGTTTACACCAAAAATTAAAGTCTCTAGGCAGTTCCATTTCACATCATGGACTGGTCTGATTTTGTCTTCAAGACACCTTCCAGGCAGTTCCATTTCACATCATGGACTGGTCTGATTTTTTCTTCAAAAAACCTTCCATGCAAGAGGGTATTATCCTCCACTCTTTTTTCTGACTTTTACTTCCCCCTCTTTTCATCCAATAACTCATTAGATCGGCTGTATGTTTCGGCATTGTCCACACTGTCTTTGTGAGACTGAAAAACATGTTCCACAATTGGACAGTGAATTTACAGTGTAGGAACAAGTGATTGTTTGTCTCCCTAGTCTCATTGCACAAAAACCATCTAGTCACCACAACTCTCCCCTTCTTTTGTAACACTTCATGAGTAAGACGTGCTTTTCTTACCACTAGCCATGTGAAACATTTCACTTTTGTAGGGGCTATGTTCTTCCATACATATTTCCATATCTTTAGCTCTTCCTCCTGCATAATGCTATTATCCCTCTTGTATACCTTATTTACAATGAAACTTCCTTTTGAACTGTGTCTCCATCTAAGTCTATCAGGCTCCATTATTATCCCACGAAAAGTATCCACTTCTTCTTTTAGCAGGTCAACTACTCTTTTCTACCTCCCAATCATTTAAGTGTCTTCTGAAGTTTAGATCCCACCCTTGGGGGGGACCAGCAATCAGACACAACAATTTCAGGGTTGCTAGATAGTAACATGAGATCTTGATAATTATCCTGCAGTGGTACTTCTCCTATCCAATTATCCTTCCAAAACCTAACATTGTTAACATTGCCCACTTGGAATTTAGAATTCTTCTGGAGCTTTGACCATAGACCTCTGATAGTCGTCCATACCCCCGTCCCATAAGTGCAATTCACTTCATTTGAGCACCAAAGACTATTCTGTCCGAGCTTTTGAATAATTACTTCCTTCCAGAGGGAAGTTTCTTCATCACAGAATCTCCAAAGCCATTTCATCAAAAGGCACCTGTTTTGAATTCCCAGATTTTTTATTGCTAATCCTTTGTGTTCTTTTCTTAATTGAGTGACCTCCAATTCAACCAGATTATATTTCCCCTTCTCTTTGTTGCCTTTCCACAAAAAATTTCTTCTTAGTCTATCTAGCTTGTTCACTACACTATCAGGAATAGGAAACAAAGACATCACATATGTAGGTATAGAGTCCAACACTGAGTTTATTAGTGTGACTCTTCCCCCAAATGACAAATATTGTGCTTTCCACAGTGCTAGTCTCTTTTCTTACCTTTCTACAATGCTGTCCCATATCTCTACTTCTTTGTATTTCCTGCCTAATGGCATACCCAAATACATAGTAGGCAACATGCCCACTTCACGCTCCAATACACTAGCCAAGGACTGAACATTCATTACCTCTTTGATAGGGAAGATACTACTTTTCCTCCAATTCACCTTTATGCCAGAAACAACTTCATATACCACCAATATGACTATAACATAGGTAACTTGTTCCTTGGTAGCTTCACAAAAAATAATGGTATCATCTGCATACAACAGATGGCATATCTCCAAATCACCCTTCATTATTCTAAAACCCGTGAGCCAATTATTGTGAATTACTTTTCTCATCATGCTACTTAAACGTTCCATAGCCAAAATAAACAAGAAAGCGGATAAATGGGTCTGAAACCTCTTAGTTCCACTGCTCCCGTCTTTTTTGGTGTAAGGGCTACATACTGACATTCAAACTTCTTTCGAGGACTTGATGATCATGGAAATATTGCATTGTCCCCTTAATGTCACCCTTAATAACCTCCCAGAAAGTTTGGTGAGCCCATTTCCTTACATCATTTCGAGCAAGAATTTTATCACATTCAGGGAAGCTTCCCACTAAACACCTTCCAAAAGAGAGTTCTCAGAATATGATGGTCTCGCTCCCATGGGATCCATGTATGTTCCACCCACGTACTCTCCTTATGACCACCTGGGCTTTTGTAACAACTCTTTAAAGCTTTTTTCTCCCCTGATTATTTTTCCTTCCTTTGCCTCTTTGATGTTTAGAGCCTCTCGACTATGCAAGCCCTTTTTAATGATACTTTCCATTTTTAACGTCACATTCAACCAGCTCTCATTGAAAGCATTTTCTAGAACCCTAATGGCAGTTTTGGATTCACCTATGACAGTAATAATCGAAATATAACGGCCAAAGTTGTTGAATTTCATAGAGAAGAACAAGTGTGTTGACCTATCTATGCATTTCCATGTTTTGTACACCCTGCCCTTGTAGTTTGAGGCCTCTCTTAATCTCCGAGATACCCAGAGTAAGGCTTCTCTACTTAAAACCATTCTACGGAGACGTAACTTGGAACTCTCTATCTATTCGTACCAAAACTCAATACGAGATGAGGCCAAAGTGATGTCGAAAGATTTGCCCTCGGATCTAAAATAAATACGATTGTCCATCGATGACAAAAGGTTTAAAACATAGAAAAGACAAAGTAGGTTGTGTGGAACTCTGGTAGCCGAATGCCACCTGAAAAGAGGAACTAGAAGTCTGTAAGGGACCTTAGGTGATTACCTTGAAAACTGTGCGTGTGAATAGTTATACACATTGTGATTGCGTGTTAGTGGTTGTAAAGTTGAATTTGGTTAATGTTAGTAGTTGGTGGTGGCTGTAAATGTGTGGTGGTTGATGTGGTGCTAGTTATGTTGATGGAGGTGGTTGGTTAGTAAAGTTCGACCATAAAGGGGTAGTGGCAATGGTGCTAGTTGTGATGGCGAAGTTTATAGGTAGTAGGAATTGACTCTAGTGGTGGAGGTGGTTGATAGTGGTGGTGGAGGTAGTGGCAGCTATATAGACGGGGGCGGCGGCGGCAACAATGGATATAATTATAAGGATGAAGGAGGTTAAGTGTGGTAGCAAACAATAGTGGTTAGCAATGATGGTGGTTGTGATGGTAGACTGTAGATGTGGTTGGTGATTGGCGACGGTAATGGTGGTGTTTAGGGTGTCAAATGGGCGAATTGGGCTGAAATTAGAGAAGTAAAAGTGGACTGAATTAGAAATTGGGTTGGGTTATGACCCAACCAAATTTACTTTGGATTTAAAAGGGTTGAGTTCAAATGGGCTAAAAATCGGTTTAGGTCACGTTCCCGCCCAATTTGACCCTCTTAATCTCATCGATTTTAAAATTTGCTATTTACATTATATGACCACAACTAGTAAAATTATTCGCGCTTCGCACAGAAGTTTAATATCACCTAGTTTATAATATAATACTTACAATCTATCCGTCGTTAAAACAAAAAAAACTATATTATATTAGA